CTGAATCGTTTCGAAACACCGGACCCCTGGGACTTGGAGGCAATCTGCAAGAGTCTGGACGAGGAACAGGCCATGCAGACGCTGCCTGCAAAGGCAGCCTCGTCTTCCAAGCCTCGATTGCTTCACTCGGCGACCCCCGACCGATGGGAGTGGGATGCGATGGTTCAAGAGGAGAAGATGATAGAGTCCCGCAGTCGAGCAGAGAGACCAAGCCAGCCGCCGGTGGCTCCCGTCTCAGTGCCAGCGCCAGTCGCAGTCCCAGCGCCGGCAGGTTCGGCTTACATCCCTGCCCAGGCCTGCATAGCCCAGGCAGCCCCTATGGTATCGCTCCTGACAGTGCCGACGCTTGCAATTCCGGCTGTCGCTTCTGCGATGCCAGCAGCGCAGCCAGGTTGCGAGTATCCTCGCTTGTTGGGTAGCGTGAGCCCAGCATCGCAGGGCTCACCGAAGCCAGTGTCGCCCAGTGTCTCCCCACGTGTGCGGCCAGGGACACTGGAGACGACGCACCTGGACGAAAATCGGGAGTTGGTCAAGTGGTACGTGGATGCCACGAAGTTCGATTCGAACTCGGAGCGGCTTCTAAGCCCAGAGTTCGTTCTGCACTTCCCCGGACATGCAGAGCCCTTCACCTTCCGGATGGTAATCCTCGCCACGCAGACAGGTGGCAAGCATGGTGCTGGATTCAAGAAGGCGAAGGGCAGGGGCAGCATTGAGCTGAAGTGTTCTTCCGCCGTGCCTTCAGGTGTGGACAGTGTCACTGCCCTTGTCACCATTGGCGAAGGTGCGCGCAAGCAGATCCCAACTGAACACAACTTCAGCGACAAGACATGCTGCCAGTTGCCCAATGGGGAGGAGGCAGATTGGGATTTCAAGCAGTCGGTCAGCCGAGACGCCAAGTGCTTGGAGATCGCAGTGGAGGTCCACTTTTGAAGTGGCCCCACTGACAGGCTACTGCCCCGGTGTTAATTGTGGTGAAATTAGTTTCAATGCATGAATTTCCTGTATAGGCCAGTGCAACAAGGCATGAAGAAGCGATTGTCGACTTGCTAAGTGTTGAGTTCGACTGCACACGTGCGCCGTAACACGTCTTGACCTGTCCCGTCCCATTTCCGACAAGCCGCACAAGTCTAGGTCCAGCATTCTTGGGCACATAGTGTGCAACGCTTTCGAGTGTGCCTGACAGTCCCAGATGGTGTGCAGACGACAGGGGCGTCCCTGCCGCCACACACCAAATCTGACAGATGAGCCGATATGCGCGCCGGGGGCTAGCCACCTAAAATTTCTGTTCACATGCAAGCGAAGTGTAACACGTAGCACACGAGGCAGCTGTTGCTAACACAGAATGCTTGCGCGTGATCCGGGCTCTACTGCTTCCCACCGGTATCCTCGGAGACAACCATGAGGGCCTCCGGGGGTAGCTGGGTGCAGCGAGAACTGAGAGAGATAATGGTTGCTCTGTACAGCGGGCTTCTTGCACGGAGGTCTCGCCCACCGCGGCAGGCTTGTAAAGAGTGAAAGTGCTGAACCCACACGAGGCAGCAGTGGTTGCGGCATGACGCGACCAA